CACCTGTGAACATCTCCTCCTGGGCAATTCTTCTGCTGCTGTGCCCTTTTTCCTTTCTGCTCTGGGAAACTACCATAATAGTCAATTACTTTTCTTCCTGTGAGTGGTCTTATTCAGTGCATGTACATGCACATATACTTTATATGTATATGGTTGTATGTGTATAGGTTTGCCTGTGTATATACTGTGTATAGACAAGAGTCTATAGGTGTACAAAACTAAGGTAAAGCTTGAAAATGCACATATTTGAAGGCATACCACCCTGCTTCTAGCATTTCCAAAGGTAGTTTTTTAAGGTTTTTACTGATTTTGGTTGCACAATTATTTCAGTGCCACAAAAGTTAGAACACACTGTGTGTATGCAGAATGTTCCTGGTTCCAAACTCAGCAGAAATACTGTTAGATTGTTATTATTCTATTTAGGGGTACTGCAATAATTAGTTGCATAAAATAATGAAACAGTGCACCTCTATATTTCTTAAAAGAAACAAAATACCAGGGGAAATGGCAGATCAGGCAACCAACAATATTTGCTTGTTGATTAAAAACTTGATCTATGCTTTTGGTATAACCAGCAGATAAACGTGGTCTGTGACATGATACACATTAGGTTTTAGGAGTATGTTCTTTAAATTTTTAATTTTTTATCCTCTTAGGTACACTGGATTACAATTTGGTATCTGCATTCCATTGCTGAGCTATTACAAATAGATTGATTTCTACACCTATTAAGTTACATTGTGATACCTTGCAGGTGATCCCGATCTCTTTTAAATTTTTATTAGCGTCTTCAATCTAGTTGTGAGTGTTGCAGCAGAGGGCATCAAATATAGGTCAATTTAGAAGAAACAGGGCTTGTCCTTTCCAGTTCTAAAAGTTCCTAGATGCATTTGGGCTTACTAGACAAGTAGTTACGTTTTGTCCCATAATCACATGAGACACCAATATGGAATTGGAACAAAGCAAGAAAAAATGTTTTCTTGAAAATCTTGGACCAAGAAAGGATTGATAATCAACTTAAGAATCAACTTAAGAATCAACTGATTCTTAATACCAGTAGTTGTTTTAAGGATGCTGAGAGGCTACATTTTAAATGTATATGTGTACAATTAAAACAAGTATGATAAAGCAATGTGGCCCAGCCACATTACAACTCAGCTTTATTTTTATACAACTTTTTTTAAAAAAAGATGGTTATTTATCAGAAAATCTTTTCCCCAATTTATTAGACTTCTCAAACAATGTTGCCCCATTACTAATGTGGGCCACCCATTATTTCATGTGTGCAGTGCATGACAATGTCCTCTCACCAATATGAAACCCTCCCCTCCCATCCTGTGCAAAACCGCTGCAATTCAGACCAGAAAATAAATACGTCCATTCAGTTTTTAAAACATAGGAAGAAATGTAGAAAACTTTGTGCCAAATGTAGCCATATGATGTTGCTATGTTTTTGTCATCTGCACCTCTATAACTGTCTGGTTTGATTCTGCAACCCAACAAGAGAGACACAGACTTCAGAGAATAATTAGAACTGCAGAAAAAACAATTACTGCTAACCTGCCTTCCATTGAGGACCTGTATACTGCACAAGTCAAAAAGAGGGCTGTGAAAATATTTACCAACTTCTCGCATCCTGGACTTAAATGGTTTCAACTCCTACCCTCAAAACGACGCTACAGAGCACTGCACACTAAGACAACTAGACACAAGAACAGTTTTTTCCCAAATGCCATCACTCTGATAAACATATAATAAACATATAATTCCCTCACTGTCAAACTATTTATTAAGTTTGCATTACTATTACTATTAATATTCTCATCGTTCCTATCACCCATCTCCTCCACTTATGACTGAATAACTAACTTTGTTGCTTGCATCCTTATTATTTATATCGATTGTTTCCTAGTATGATTTGATTGCTTATTTGTACCCTATGACTATTATTAAATGTTGTACTTTATGATTCGTGATGAGTGTATCTTTTCTTTTATGTACACTGAGAGCATATGCACCAAAGACAAATTCCTTATGTGCCCAATCACACTTGGCCGAAAAGAATTCTATTCTATTCTATTCTATTCTATTATCTCAGTAAAGGAGACTTTTGCCAATGGTATATGATTTCTTCCCTATGCCATCCTGTAGTTCAATTCCTATTATTACCATTGCCGGCCCTGTACTTCTTCATACATTTGTCCTGATAAGTCTCTAAATTTTTTTCCCAAAATAGGAAAATTGAAGGCAAGGACTAAGCTTGGGTGTCTCTAGCTTCTTGCTACAAGCATAATTTCATGATGAGACTAATTTGGAAGAAGCATAGACTAATCTATTAGGAATGTTTGTGTTTAAAGGCTTTCGTCTCACTTAAGGAATTGAGCTACATAATCATTGAGACTTTTCCAGATTTCTGAATCAGTGCTTCCCATCAGATTGAGCAAAGCACTATCTCTGAATAAACTTTTGACTCATCCATGTTTTCTCCCTTTGAGCTCCTCATTACATCTATCTGTCTCAACTTGTCTTGTCTGGAATTGAAGTTTCTCTGCTAAGAAAAATGTGATATTCAGCTTTTCAGTTCCTGACCAATCTGACCTACCGCATGACATCTATGGATATAAATGCAGGGAGCAGGAACTGAACTGTGATCACCCCCTACTGATTCATTAATCTGAAATTGTGAATCTGGCAGTCTTTCTTCTTCTTTTTCTTAATTCCATTTATGTATGAATATCTTTGTTGCTTTAAAATGAGATGAGTGACAAATGGGATGTGGTGGCAAATAAATTAAAAAGTAGTAGTAATGATCTGTTTACTGAGTAGTTCCCAATCCATTAAAATATCAAAGAAACAATCATAATTAAATAACAGTAAAATAAAAAAGGAAAAAAACAGTAATGAAAACTATATAAAGATTTATGACATGCTAGGCCTAGGGATTGTTGTGCAGCAAAAACAATCTTTCGGAAACCACATGCTGTAATTTCTCTGGGTCTCTAACTAGCTGAGGACATGATATATTTATTATATACAGACAAGACCAGGATTTCTTGGGATAAATGTTTGAAGTGTGTTTTTAAGGTATCCTAAGTTTTTCTTTTGCTGTTGCTTGTAGTTAAAATCTGTATGACTTCATACCTCCATTTATCAATGGTTTTCTACCAAATTTCATTGATTTGACTTCAATTGGTTTGATTGCCTTTGGGTGCTATGTATACTCAGGAACTGCCATTCTTGTTTTAATAAATGGGAAAGAGCCAAATCAACAAATTGCTTTTATAATGTTCCAAGAAGCAATTGCCAATGCTGGAAATTAAGGAAGAGCAAAGGGTTTGAAAGGAAACAAAGCAATTATTGTAAAGCAAAATGTAACAAAAAGATACAGAAATGAGATAATGTATAATTATTGCTAAAGCACAGTTAGATTGTGGAAGCACTGTAACTTCTTTTGATGGGAAAAATGTATACGGTTTGAAATTAGAAATAAATCTTGAGAATGAAAATCCATACAAATATTTTTCATTCTGTAAAGAGAAATGTTGAGGTTATAAAAAGACAATATATTACATATGTTTAAAAGGTCAGGATTATGATTACATTCCTCTTTTAAAAAATCAAAATCCAAAGAACACTTGAAATTACTGGCCTTACTTGGCCTTATTTTCAGGGAGGTCTTATTATTTTTGAGGTGCAGGAGCAACGAGCATGGTCACCTCATGGCTGCTGCTGTGTTGCAATATTTTTG